TGTTGTCCGGGACAACAATCAATTTAATCCCTGCTTCAAATCAATATAATGTCAATGTAGTTATTGACCATCACCCCAACAATCTCTCCAGGGAATTTATTAAAAGAATCTGGCCCACCACCACTCAGAGTTAATGGTCTACAGCGCCTGCAATTTGAAAAGTTGTTGGCCTTGCTTGAATGTTGGTGACCCAAAAGATAAATTTAATAAATTGAACTCAAAAAATAATATAGTTTTGATGACAGAAAGCAAAATCTATTGCTCCAGCATTTATCGTCTATACGATCACTGACTGACTTAAAAAAGCAGGTTTGTTGTTCTATGTACTGAAACTTGTCAGCCCTACTTTCAAGTTCTAGACTAGAAGCCCAGGGGTCTGCCTTAGTTTTGAACAACACTATATTGATCAACAAATACCACTGTACCTGGATTGATGGACGGTGGAGGCGGAGGAGGAAGCGGACCACCTGTCTTCATTGCATGCTGAACACCTCTAGCTGATCTTATAGCATTAATAAAATCTAAATGGTTCTGTCTCCAGTTTGATTGCTTCACAGGTGCTGGCTGTAAAAGTAGTTTGAAAAATTGTTTTGAACAGTTCATCACCGTGACTAACTAAACTTCAAAATATACAGTGAATTCCAGTAGGACTATTATAACTCAGCTTGTTATCACAAAAAGGGTAAATTAATAGACCATTTTCCATTCACTGCGAGAATCACACGTGAAATCTAACGTAAAAACACAACAAATAAAGGTCATAGCTTCGTAGTAGCGTCAAACATCGCGTGGGATTCGACAAACGCGAAAATATTTTTGGGGGGCATTTCCATGCTTTATAATAATGTGGTGTATACATTTGATGTAGACAATTTCGATCAAGTGAGGGTACTCGAAAGCAATATTCCTCTGTCGAAGATCAGCCAGTCGATCTGAGCTACAGAATAAAGAAATTTGAGTTCAAAATCAAATCGTTCGATTTTTCCGGCAGAAATTCGATGCACGTCTTTCATGCATCTCGCAAGATCTCGCAGTAGAATGGAAAATCACCTATTAAAGAGCTTGAAATTTGGAGTTTTGCCTTATGAGAATAACATTGGAAATATGAAAGAACATCAAAGCAAATTCATTGGGCATCAAAGCAGTCATCTTTGATATCTTTGTGAAGTTCAATTCCTACATAAATCTTGTATCAATAGCACACAATAGTCAAGTCAGCAAATAGAAAAAAATATTTAACATTGCAAACGAAAATCTGACACTTTTAGTGTGAAGAATGAGATTTCGTAATTATTCTAGAAAGCCTTTTTTTTTCTAGTAAATGACAGTAACAAAGGCTTTGGTCATTTGTATCTTGGAACAGTTCATGTACATCATTCATTCATAATGTAGGATTAGAATAACCAATCAAAACTAGCGTTACAGATCATTCTCTAGTAATACATGCTCTAATTGGTTAAAATTGCCAGCAGAGCTTAGTTTGAATGAGTATGTCACTTTCATAACCATGTGCAGTGATATGCAATTAAGATCTTGAATTTGAAAACGTTTCAAAGCAATCCCATTCCATATGCGTCAATCAAACAATGTTCTAACCAATAGTATCACAGAACTCGTTGGATGATTGGAAATGTTCGATTGCAAAAACAAAAATAGGCAAGATCATCACAGCATTCAAAAAGATAGAATGGACTTAATCACAATTTTATGCGAATATGCGAAGACACTAACAAAATGGTTTGAGATGAACACAAATCTGTTTTTTCACAATTGCTTACTACTTTTCGGACCTTTGGTTGTTGTCCTGGTCTATTTGTCTTGCTGACTGGTATTTCAGTTCCTTTGGCGCGCTGTTTACCAGAGTCAAATACTTTCCTCCTTTTGGAACCAAGATCAGCTTTCCTACAAATCTTTTCATGCTTGGCCTGTAAGATCAATGAAAAAAACAAGTATTAGGAATGAATGAATGAATGAATGAATGAATGAATGAATGAATGAATGAATGAATGAATGAATGAATGAATGAATGAATGAATGAATGAATGAATGAATGAATGAATGAATGAATGAATGAATGAATGAATGAATAAATAAATAAATAAATAAATAAATAAATAAATAAATAAATAAATAAATAAATAAATAAATAAATAAATAAGCAAGCAAGCAAGCAAACAAACAAACAAACAAACAAACAAATAAATAAATAAATAAATAAATAAATAAATAAATAAATAAATAAATAAATAAATAAATAAATAAATAAATCATGCATCAATGTAAATACATGCTCGTTGTACAGTCAAACCGACTTTTGTGACCACCTATATATACAACCATCTGTCCCAAGTGACCACCTTTAAGCAGTTTCAATGAAATTAATATGTCAAATGAGACCAGTGACCCCCTTTTTGGCAATGGTTTGGTCCAATGAACTAACCTCTGTATAAGGATTAAAAGTACACAAATCTCTACACTGACATTTTCAATTTATTCATGAGATACAAACACATTTTTATTTTCAATCTTTGAATATTTGTTGATAATTTGCCCTTTAAACTAAGCCATTACTGTTATATTTTCATTCACAAATTAATTATTCCACCATATATATAGATTGTCACACCTGTTAACAATTTGGGTGCATGGTATACAGTGACTTAACCTGATTGTTCACACACAATGACAAAACAATGGCATTGTTTTCTTCTGTATTTATTGAATATACACGTCTCTGTAAACCTTTTCACCACCAGAATTTCTCACCCAAATTAGTCTGCACTTTTTCTTATATTCTTCAATATTTCTGGAAATAAACCCTAATTTTGGAGCAAACGGACAAAATTTGAGTAAATTTTCAGTTTTTACTCAAAAAATTTGGCTATTTTTGTCCCAGTCTTCTGAAAGAAAGTGCAGCCTATACCGGTAATGTGATGAAAAAATAGAATTGGTGGTGAAAAAGTTAATACCTATGACGATGAGCAACATTGTCAAAGCAGATTGTTAGTGCCATTAATTATATAATTACAAATGTTGTCATATAGAGTGAGATGACATATAAGGACCACCTGTCTATATAGGACAATTACATTTGGGGATCACTATACATCACAGTGACTGCCACTGCTACTGTATCCTCAGAAAAAGACTTCCCAATGGAATGATCAGAATGATGAGAGAAATAATACTGTGAATCTATGGGTTGTAATTAAAGAATTAATTGAGACACATATACCACTGGAAAGCAATCAGGACACTGCATGGTAAAACTACTCCACCACATGTCCCAAATACATGTATACCACCACCAAAACCTAATAAACTTACAATAGATTCTGGATTGAAGGATCTGCCGCATACACTACATGGAACCAGTTCAGAGGAGCCCTGACTTCCAAATGCTGAAATAAAACACATTCAAATCATAAACATAATACAGAATCTATGTAGTATGAAATGAGGGGAGGCAAGGTGGGTAGCTGGTACGGTTTTACGAGAAATAAAAAAGGTTTTTTTTTAAATTTACAAGGAAAAAAGAACGTTTTTACAGTTTACAATGTTAAAAAATGGAACATTGAATGGTCCAAAGAGCTCTCCGACTCAAATGCTCCGCCATTACTGTGCCGTGTGTAGAGATGCATGCGCATATTACCCTCGTAATGCTCTTCATTCGGTTAGAGGGCATTTTACGTCTTGACATTCAATTTTGTAGTGAATTGTGTCATCTAGCCGTTTTACAGTTTCTAAAATGTCATTTCCCTGGATTATTTTTTACGATTTTTTTTATATGGATGTAAATTCTTGTACGTACCGAGAAAAACGACACATTTTTACAGTGTACGAAAAAAATATTTGATTGATTACGTTATACGTCTAGCCTGTGATTACAGAATTACAGAATTTATTTTTTCTATTTACGTTGTACGAACAAAAAAATATTGCAATTACGAAAATAACCCTTGCCCCCCCCTGAAATTGACAATATATTATACAATATCAACAATATAATTACTGTCATATTATGGATATGTAAACAAGCCACACATGAGATTCAAATTAACGACTATGGCAAAGCGATCTTTTTTTTTTTTTTTTTTTTTATTTAAACAATATTTTTATTTCGTTTCAGTAATGGACATACAACACAAAAAGCGATCTTGCCACGACTAAAAGACGCACGTCTCACTCTACCACACTCACTAGTATCTCCAAAACAATTGAAAATCTAAAGTGATTAAATGGACATGTGCCAGCTAAATCTCCAACATCACTGCAATTACATCCATACAATGAATGGCAATGAATGCAATATGGTACAAGCTAACTACTTTCTGACGTCTGGATAGGTAGTAAACAGATCATGAGCACAAAAGCTTGAGTACTATACGCCACTGGTTATGGATGAATGTACAGCATTCATGGATTTTTGTGAGGAAATGTTACCCACTTAGGGAGCTTAACATTTCATGTAAACCCCCTAGGCCACCTAAGTTAATTCATTATAACATAAGGGCACAATTGTGTGATGACAATATTATTATTGTGGTTGAAGAAAACATTTTTGGAAATATATAAAAGCCACTAGCTATTTGCGGTCCAGTGAGTAAACGCAAATGGTACCACAATTGAGTTATCTAATCTGATATAGAATAGAATAGAATAGAATAGAATAGAATAGAATAGAATAGAATAGAATAGAATAGAATAAAATAGAATAGAATAGAATAGAATAGAATAGAATAGACTTAACGAGACAAATATATTTCATGCTACTAAAAAATGCAAATACTCAGGTTTCCAGATGACCAATACCTGCTGCAAGTTTCAAACAAAAATATTCTAAACACTTCTCACACTAAAAATTAAAGCAAAGGATTGTCACCTGCGCAGATGCGGAATTGACGATAAGTGAAGATAACAATGCATGCTTAAAATAAAAAGGCTCATGGATAGACGCTTGTTTGTCAACAAGGACACACTATATAGCTTGTCGCTTTAAAGTAATGTATACCAAACAAATTAATAGACTTTAATTTCTGTTCACTGCAATATCTCGTCTTATGTGTAAAATTGGATGTAAAAACAGAACAAACAAAAAGTCATAGTATTGTAGTGATATCGGAATATCTAATGGGATTCGATAAATGCTAAAATCATTTTTGAATATTTCCACACTCAATATATGCCTTTGATTCCGGTCAATTTTGATGATGTAAGGGTATCTCAATGCCATATTTCCTCATAGATATATAAAAAAAGTTCAAAATCGAATTATTTTGCCAGATATTTGGTTAACATCTCCCACACATTATGTGAGAATCCCATAAGGAAAAGCACCTATTAAGTCACAGTGACGGTTAATTATTTGTTTTGTTTTTTTTACATTCATTGCATCTCTGCATAAATGGATATGTATTTTATTTCAATATGGAGTAATAAGGTTTTTATTATACTATTATTTTATAAGTAACAAGACACAAGATTAAAAAATTATTCGCACATAGCTGCCATGACTAATAACTGATAACATACTGTAAAAGGGTTAATTATTCACTGGGTTTTAATTCAGCTTATTTCGCTGACTGGAAAATGCGCTAAATTAAAACCCAATGAATATGTAAAATTTAGCATAGAACACATTATCTAAATAATAAAAACATGAATTTAAAACCCACTGAATATGCCTGAAATGCTAAATCAGCAAAATTTAAACCCAGTGAAAATTAATCATTTTACAGTACATAAACTGAAAATCACAAGGTATTTTAAGAAAGATCCATCATGCTGTCAACTTGGATATTGTATACAATTCCTTGTAAATTATGTGGACAATGGGTGATCCTGCATGCTTTAAGGACAGTGTCAGTGGTCAACTTATCGTAACCTTGATGACACTAGAATGTTTTACAACGCCCAAGTACCACAAAACAAACAGATACGATATATTTTTAAAGTGACATAGTTTACGTGGCGAGCATAACAGTACTGAGGAATCTGACAATTCACCACCGTCACTTCTGTAACAGTTCCTCTGTGCTCTGGCAATCTAGAAACGCGAATACCAATAAAACACGAGTTTGACCTTCCCTTTTTAAGGCTTTAACCGTTATGTTTTCATAGTATGCCGTCGATGGGCCATGGTTGACGTACGTATAAGTCAGCCACAAGGAGTAAGAAGTAAGTCTGAGTTGCGGGGAATTTTGTGGCCAATATTGATTTCGACTGTACCAGTGACGAAGCTCATTGTGAAATGGAAGATACCCTGAGTGTAATGAAATAGTTAATTAGCTCAATGGCACTGAGTGAACGCTGTTTCCCTCCTGGCGTCGATAAATGAGTGTAGTTTGAAGACGTATCAGAGTAAATAAGGACGTACTATCAACACCTAAATATTCAGATTAGATATTAGGCAACTCTGATATCGTTAAGTCATAATAACAGACAATATTGAAGACTATTTACCTACCTTCGAACTCCATATTTCTGAACGGAAAGCAGCTTGGTTAGCAACAAGGCAACGCGCATGCTCAATGAGAGGATGTCCTGAAGTTAACCCGTGACGTCAAAGAGACCTCGTTGACGGCCGTAGCGTGCAATAAAAGACTGAAAAGGCGTCAATAAAAAGTATTTTGGGTGGAGTTTAGTGTTGTTGTTTTTTTAATTTTTGTTTAGGGTAAATGGCAACGCATAAAGTGAGTTTCTTTGTTGTAAATCGGGATGGGACACGGGTGGGTGGGTGTGCTTTGCACCGTGCTATGTATTAGTATCAATGGGTAGCAGCAATACGACAACAACCATGGAGCTACTATCTCCATGCAACAACTTGCCCAAAGCTTAGAAAATATATCAACTTCAGATCTGTATCTGATGACGTGAATCCGATCTGAAAAATACAATGACGTGCATCAGGGAGCCATAATATCTAAAGTTTGAACAAAATCCATCCATAAACGCCAAGATCCGGTTCTGGAATGCCAGAAATGATGATTTTTTAGAACAAAAATGGCCGCTATTTGGCTATTTTGAATCAGATAGTCAAACTAATTTATTTATTTATTTATTTATTTATTTATTTATTTATTTATTTATTTATTTATTTATTTATTTATTTATTTATTTATTTATTCATTTATTTGTTTATTTATTTATTTATTGCATTCCTTTTGTAACAGGGGCTCACTATGTAAATTAGGAGCAATAAATAATACATTTCACTCAAAGACTAATGAAAAATCTGTTGATAGACAAAATAGAAACTAAGTTACATGAACTAAAATAACAACAAAAACATCTAAAAGTAGAAAAAATAAGAAAACTAATATATAAGAAGTACATTGTACATTGGAGAAATATTAAATATTATCTGTATACTTCTTCCTACTCTCCATGGCATCAATTAAGACATTTTTTGTACGAGTATCAATTTTGTCACACAAGACTGAATTATACTGCCTTGTGCTGTCATCCAGGATTAAACATAGCACTTATTGTTTGCTATGAAGCCTTCATGTAATTTTTTTCGCTTTTTTTTTTGCATAGGAGCATTTTAATCCCTTTCATTAGGGTGTTTTCTCTGTGCTGAGAAACATTCACAATGTAATATGAAATGCTCCAGTGTTTCAGGTTCCTTTTGCAACATGGACAGATACAATCATTGCTATTCAAGTTTGCCCATTTCCTTTTCTCATATGCCAAACCAAAAGTGCAGGGTCTTGCCTTGAATTTTAATTGGGTGCCCTTGAAGTTGGACACGGAATTTAAATAATTGTCATGGTTACCAAGAATTGATTTCATAATGGGGAATAACTTTCAGGTTGATCTGACAGGTTATCCAATAACCCAAAAATTTATACTCAGAAGCTTCTTTTATTTTTGAGTTCCCAATCTGCCAATCTTTGTTTGACTTTTCCTCATTAATTGTCATCTTTCATAGTTTGCAGGAATGGTTTGTGACATTTAACATGGATTTGAGTTGGTCCTCATTTGGTGCAATAAGCACCACATCATCAACAAAAAACAAGCCATTTATACAAATTTCATCTAATTTAACACCAAGTAGTGAAACAGTTTTTTTTTTGAATTCATTTATGTAAATTGAGAATAACGTTGGGGCTATCAACATCATTCTTTTAAACCCTCATTCTGTGTAAAATACTCAATGTAAAATAATGTTTCAATATCTCCAAATGATACTTTACTTTCAATATGGTTATATGTATATTTTATTATACGCCATAATTTGCCCTTTACACCATTCTGCCTTAAAGCATACCATAAACCTTCTCTCCAAATGCTCTCCAAATCTAAGAAGGCAAAGAATGTATGGTTTTCTGGTGTTTAAGAATTAAAGCTATTCCTTTTAGAGCACTTGGTCAATTCTCCGTCTGTTTTTCTGAAACCCCCTTGAATTTCCCCTAAATAATTTGAACAAAACCAGTCAAAGCATGGCAGAGATATGGCACTAGAACAGCATTCATTAAAACAAAATGGCCACCAGTCGGCCATTTTAAATCAGATCTGAAAAATAAAATGACATGCATCAATGTATAATAACGTCCAACGTATGTACCAAGTTTGAACATAATTCATCCATAAATGCTTAATTTTAATGAATTTTCAGCACAAAAATGGCCGCCATTTGGTCATCTTGAATGATGTGTGTGTGAAGTTTGAATGTAATCAGTCTAGGCATGTCTAAGATATAGGTAAATCCAATAAATCTGTGTGTTTTAATCCAGCAGTACTCGTACTTAGCACTTGCACGAAAATCAGCGACCCCCCCCCCTCTCTAGTTGGTGATCGGAAGATATTGAAAGAGTCACAGGCGGTACGTAATTAGTGCACGTTGTACCAAGATCAAAACTCGTACCCGTGATTTTCATTAAAAAGACGCATTGGATTGTGGGAAAATCAATGTTTATTAACACAAATGTCGCATAAGCGCGGCGCGACGACTACTGCCCTTTCAGGTAGAAGCCTACTTATACTTCTTGTGAAAGTTGGTCATAATCACATGACAACTTTCAATGGTTTATTATGTAAAATCGTGAAGATTTTGTCCAATGACACTTCAAATTTAAAAAATCCCTATTTTTAGAAAAAATCCATGGAACAGAATGTTAAAGTAAAATTTCCTTTTTTTTTTGACAATTTTTAAAACACAAAATCTCGAAAGAATTTAGGACACAATAAGTACCCTAT